GAAAGCCGGCTTTCCGGCAAAACGAGCGTTCCCGCTCGATGCGTTCTTATTTCGTTATTCGAGACCGGCGCTCCCGCCTCGGCGCAGCAAGTGGCCCCACTTGCAAACAGCAGTGCTCCCGCTCGATATTTCTTCCACTTTTGCTCAAGACTCCTAGAGGCCCCGGAGGGTCCCTAGTCCCTGGTGCCGACCCTCAAGAATCCAGCGCGCTGCGTCGAGGTCTGCGCCGTCGTCTCCCTGGCGCGCTCCGCGTGCCAAGGGCGGCCCGAGAGCCCGCGGCGGCGACCCCGTCGTCGTCGTCGTCGTCGTCGTCGTCGTCGTCGTCCTCGTCGTCCTCCCCCTCCCCATCCTCCTCCTCCGCCTCTTCCTCCTCCTCCTCCTCCTCCTCCTCTTATTCCTCCTCCGTCCCCCTCGTCTCCCCCCCTCCTTCCTCCCCCTCTTCCTCCTCCCCCTACTCTCTGCTTTTCTTCCTTCCGCGAGGCCCACGAACCCTTCCGATCCAAGCCGTTTCCAAACATGCCCTGGGGCCTCTTTCAAGATGCCCCGAAATCCTCCAGCTCAGTTTTTAAAGCGTCCCCCATGGGCCTTCATGTTTTCCTAGAAAGGTTTCTGAAGCTTCTGTGCAAGGCTATGGGGACTCTCCAAGGGGCTCCAGAGGCTGTCCAAGGGGCTCCAGGGGCTCTCCCAAAGGTTGTGGGGCCTCTCCCAAAAGTTTTGGGCCAGGAAGCAAGGCGTGGGCATGGCGATTTCGAAGGCGATGTGCCATCCGGGTTGGAGATGTTGACGTGCCTCGGAAGAGGTGTTGTCAAAACCTCCTCGGGCGGAATACCTGGGTCAGGGATTCTCGGGCCCACTGCGCCAGAACAGTTCCCCCATGAATGGGGAGCTTTCATGATTATCATGATGGTTGCATGTTGTATGTGGAATCATAAAGCATTCGAGCAATATGATGGTTGAATTCCCATTTCGAAAAATCAATTATCGTTGATGCCCCTCCGGGGCACATTCTATCTTTCCAATTGAAATGTCCTTCCCTGGGCCCGCAACCTATTCTACCAATGGGACAAATTGAATTTCAGAATTGGGTTGTTGGGCTCGATTACAACAGCAGCTGCTTCCGCCTGACACGCCCTTACAACATATTTCGAAATCGCGCTCTCGCGCGGGACCTCCTGACACTGTATGCAGGAATCGCGCTTTCGCGTTGAACTTCCTCGCGGTTTAATCAGACGCCGCGGACTTTACACTCAATAATGACGCTCTCGCTTTGGATTTCCTTATGATTTATTTTGGGATCCGTGATATCGCTTGAGATGTCCTCGCGATTCATGCAGGACGCACGCTTCAACAACCCGCCTGCTCGACCTGGCCGCCTGGGCCCGCCTTCCAGTTATTCCACGTGTTTTCTGCTCCTGGTCCCCCTTCCTGTCATTCTTTTTTCTCGTGCTCCATCCTCCTCCTTCCCCCTTGTCCCTTCCTTCCATCTGTCCTCTCTTCCCCTGCCTCAGGGGCTGCGCGAAACACACGTTGCATGTAAGAAAAACACTTGCCCCCAAGAGGGTACGATCGAAGACGGAAAAAGGCGGGTATCGAGGGTTTGGGATATACGTGTTGAATGGCACGCGGGCAGGTGGGAACGAACAGCATTAAACGAATTGTTGATTTTAGTGTTGTTGTGGTTGTGGTTGTGGTTGTGGTTGAAGTTGTTGTTGTTGTTGGTTGTGCTTTTGTTGCTGTTTTGGGCCACTAGCTATTGTTGATCCTCCCCCTTCCGGCGCACATTCTTTCTTTCCAATTGAAGTGCACTTCCCGGGGCTCGCACCCTGTTTTTAATCAGGGCAAATCTTACAAGTCAAACGACCGCCTTGGTCCCCGAACTACAACAACAACGGCTCCCGCCTGATACTTCCTCACAATGTTTTGAAACCTCGCGTTCTCGCGCTGGACTTCCTGACAAAACATGCAGGGATCGCGCTCTCGCGTGTTACCTCCTCGCAATGTATTCAGACGCCGCGCCCTCGACACTCAGGAATCACGCTCTCGCTTTTGCCTTTCTCACGATTTGCTTGGGAATCGCGCTAACGTTCGAAACTTTCTCGCGATTCAGGATTCACGTTTCAGCAACCCGCCTGCTCGACCTGGCCGCCTGGCCCAGCCTTCCCGATCCGCCCGCTAGGGTCTGCTCGCCCGATCTGCCCGTCTGGTTCTGCCACGAGTTTTCTGCTCTGACCCCCCCCCCCTCCTGCTATTTTCTCCCGTGTTCCATCCTTCTCCCTCCCCCTTCCATCCGTCCTGTCTTCCCCTGTTTTAGGGGCTGCCCCAAATGCACGTGGCAGGTGGAAACTTCGACAAGCGCTCGACATGCGCAGGCGCTGTTTTGCGCGAGTCGGAGATTCCAGTCGCGCACGCAATTTGAGCGCATCACAATTGAGGTCAACAAGCACACCTGCAGGCCTGAGGGCTCTGCACGCATCGTCTGCAAACGCGAGGTTCGCGTGCAGAGTGTTGCCGCTGGGCCATTCCCTTCCTGGTTGCAAGCAGCTCTGGATCGAGAACTAGATCCCAACCCGCTCACTGCAACGACCTTTGGCATGGTCGAAGATGAGGTCGACCATGGTGAGTGCTCGGGCAAAGTGGACCAGCAGCGAAAGTCCAGCGTGCAAGCCACCCAGGAGGCACAAGTGCGCTTGCGAGCACATTGCGAACCTGATAGAGACATGGACCCCAACCTTGGAGCGCAGGTGGGCAGAACTTGCGAGAAAGAAACAAGTCAGGAGGGGGATTCAAACAGGGCGTCTCATCGGCCACCGTGCCGCGAGGCACGAGTTAGAGTGTTCGCAGGTCCCCTGCAATCCTGTTCTGGGACCTCAGGGTTGAGGAATCTGGGGGACGTGACGTTACGCGAATCCTCTGACTATGGCCGCACGTGAACTACATCCCTCTGGGACACGATTCGTGTGATGGGTGTGCCGAGACGGACGGAACGACGCCGTGCAAACTTTGACACTGGACCCGCAAGTGGAGCTCCCGCGGGGACGCTATGTGAACCCTGCCTTCCTACGGGGCCGTGGGATCATCGCTTGCACTTTTTCTCAGCTTTCCCACAGCCCATTTCTCCTCCTCCCCTCCTCCCCCTCCTCCTCCTCCTCCTCTTCCACTTCCTTCCTTCTTCTCCTCCTCCTCCTCCTCCTCCTCCTCCCTCACCTCCTCCCCTTCGTCGTCCTCCTCCTCCTCCACCACCTCCTCCTTCACCTCCTCCTTCGCTTCGCTCGCGCAGTTTGCAATACTTCGGCAATGGTGCTCTCGCCCATCCGTGGCCGCATCCTGATCCAAGATTGGCACAACCACCCAAGCTCTGACCACCCTCTCCAATACGAGCAGTACTGTCGCCTCAGAGCCGGCGACAACCCTCATTGCAGATGATGCTACCGGTCACGCACAAGCCCCATTCCTGGATGGGATTGGCGCTCTCGCCCGAGCGCTGGCCACACCCCTGTCTGGGAGTCATGCTGCCGTCTGCGCGCTGGCCACACCCTTCATGGAACGCGGTACTCATTTCGCATCGCCAGTCACACCCCTCATTGACTCTTGTGATGCCGCTCATCTCGCACGGTTCCCACAACCATCATGAGAGAATGGTGCTCCGCCAAAACGCCAACCACATCCATTTCCAAGATTTGTGCTACCGCCCCAGCGCCGGCCGCATCCGTGTGTGAGACTGGTAATCTCGTTTGAGCCTCGGCTACATCCGTCTTTTGCGAGCGCCACTCTAGCGCTAGACAACTGACGACCGTAGCTGCCGTCCCTTCGTGCTGGGCAAATGCCGAACATGGCGTTCGGTTTGGATGGAACGCGTCGGATCTGTTGCCAATCGGGGCTGCGCCAGGTTAGCCGCCCCAACGACAGGTTCGGGAATGGGTCGTAGCAACACTGCGGCTACATCAATATGCTAACCGCAGAGTCAATCAAATGTGTGGGAGCAAGGATCAATATTCGATGGCGAAGCTCAGCGAGCCTTAAATTCTGGTCTATATTATACATAAACGCACACATATATACATAAATATAGATCGGAGGTTGGGGGGTAAGTCCGACGTGAAACGGAGACACACCCTAAAGGGGAAATCGATTTCGGTTTCGGGTTCGTGACGTGCGCGCCGTGCGTGTGTGCGGGCGAGGGGAAGCTGCGTGGGCGGGCGAGAAGAAATCTTCCTGTGGCTGGGCTGCGGCCGGACCAAATGTTGCTCCTCCGGCGGCCGGTGCCGCTCGGTGTCCCGCCGGTGTCCCGCTGGTGTCCCGAAATCCTCCTGTGGCTGGGCCGCGGCCGGACCAAATGTTGCTCCTCTGGCGGCCGGTGCCGTGCGGTGTCCCGCCGGTGTCCCGTGGTGTCCCGTGGTGTCCCGCGGTGTCCCGTTGAGTGAGATCGATAGTGAGATCGATAGTGAGATCGACACTGAGATCGATGTGGTGTCCCGCGGTGTCCCGTGGTGTCCCGTGGTGTCCCGTTGAGTGAGATCGATAGTGAGATCGATACTGAGATCGATGTGGTGCCCCGAGGTGTCCCGAGGTGTCCCGCTGAGTGAGATCGATAGTGAGATCGATAGTGAGACCGACAGGTGTCCCGAGGTGTCCCGTGGTGTCCCGTTGAGTGAGATCGATAGTGAGATCGATCGTGAGATCGACAAGTGTCCCGTGGTGTCCCGTGGTGTCCCGTGGTGTCCCGTGGTGTCCCGTTGAGTGAGATCGATAGTGAGATCGATAATGAGATCGACAAGTGTCCCGTGGTGTCCCGTGGTGTCCCGTTGAGCGAGATCGATAGTGAGATCGATTGAGCCAGATGTTGGTTTCCCCCCCCCCCTCTCTCCCCCCCCACATCCTCCTTATCACCCGAAGGGTGGTCGTATAGGTATACAGATATGTGTAGATATAAAAAGGAAGCGTGCATGCAGAAACATGACGTCGGGGGTCTGGGCGCGCAGCTGTGAGAGCGCGGCCGCTTCCTCTTGTTGCTCCACCTGGACTCCGAGTTCCAGTTGCTGTCCCAGCCTGGGGGGGAACGCACGGCAGGTTCGTGTCGTGCCGACTGCTGTGTTCTGACACCGCGGGGATCGTTGAACCTTGAACGATCGGCCGTTTCCGATCAGGCAGCTCGGTCAACGTCGACCGACTCTGGGTCGCCGGCGGCGTTCAACGCTGAACGCTGGCGGCAGGGCCGCCGCCAGTCAACACGACGCGGACCTCCCTCGAGCGGGAGGGGGTCGGCTCGGGCTTGGAGACCTCCGGCTGGCATCGGCGATGCTTCGCCGATGGAGCGGCAGCAGGCCCCTCGCTGGGGCAGCCGCACGTTCCTGGGCGGCGTGGGCGGCCGGGGCCCCCCCATCGGCGACGACTGGGCGATCGGGGGTCGATGTGTTCCCCTCCAGGGTGTGGTATGCGGGCCAGAACGTTCCCCCTCGGCCGTTCGGAGCGATGGGGACTCCCCCCCCCAGGCGCTGCTCGGCGAGGCGCAACTGCTGAAACGCACCCCGAGTCAAGACACCCTCCGGGAACGAAAGGGAACGTTCCGACGACCTGGCGGCCGTCTCCGATCACCGCTGCGCTCGTTCCACCACCGAGCCAGTCCCCCCCCAAGTTGCCCCCGAATAGACAAGCGCGTTCCACTACTCGCAGAATATCTGCTCGCAAAAGGCCTGGCTCCGCCGCGACGGATCTACGATCTAGGCACTTTGCGAATAGTGGAACGCGCTCGGTGACTGAAAGCCTCCGTGCTCTGCAGCGTCGTCGGGTCGGCTCCGGCTCCAGGCCCCGGCTGAGCGGGCCATCCAGCTCGGCTGCTGTGCCCTGCCGCTGTTATCGCTGCTCCTGTGGAATAAACAAGAGGGCACCGATGACCCCTGAAGGTCTTTCGACCCCCCAATAGTTTGAAACTGATTCTCTTTTCGGCGACCTTATTGATGGACCTGGGGACCACCAATAGTGGAACAAGGAGGAGGAAGATGAGGAGGAGGAGGAGGATGGGCGAACTTGTTCCTCGCAGATGGGGGGACGCAAAACTAAAGACCTCTTGCGGGTACTGCCACTCCCCGGGCCCCTGGGGTGCGTTCTTGCCAGAATGTCGAAGCGAATCGCGCCGTGGCAGCAAGGGCCACCCAGGAGACCACAAAACGGCGAAACCGACGGACGAGCAGCGGCATCGAAACATTTTCCTCCCCTGAGCTCCAGGTGGCGTCGGCCCAGCCGCCAGAGCTCCCGCCCCAGGAGTCCCGCGTGCGTGCAGAGTCGTCCCAGCCCTGGTCCTGGTCCTGCGGCACGTCCTCGCTCCTGGGGCGATGCCAAGGAGGGTCTTCGCTTGGAGAGAATGCCGCTTCCTCAATCCCGAGGTCCGGCGTAGCAGCAAAAATGCAACATCGTAGGAATTCACGCCTGGAGCCCTAAACCCCATCTGGCCATCGCTCGGACGTCCATTTCCTGTGTTTTTTTCGGTTTCGTGCGTGGTTCGCGAAATGATCAAGGATGCTCCTCGATGGTCCTCGCCGAGAAAAAAAGCACACGTCCGAGCGATGCCAAGCTGCCATCCTTCTGCGTCATTTTGCAGGCTGGATCGATGTGTGAAGGTCCCATGGCCCGAAAAAAAAAGCGGAAAAGCCCGGCCCGAAAAAATTGAGCCGCCAGGATCTCGGGGAAGGAAGCGCTACTTCCTCGAAGAAGTGGGCCCCCAAGAACACTCCAGAGAGAGCCCCCCCAAAACGACCCCCCAAAAAGTCCCAACAAAGTCTCCCCTAGCTTTTCACTCCTGGAACTCGAATTTTTTCGCGGATGGACAAACCCTCCTTTAGTAAAACGTGGTTTAGTGAAAACGACCTGAGGCCCAAACCTGGCGAGCGCAAGCCTGGAAAATAACGGCCACGGCGCCCTCTCGAGAACCGAAAACGGACAATTCGCTAATCGACGTGTCACTGCTGGGGGTTCTGCCCACCCCCGATTATTCCCAGGAGAGGAGCTGGTGCCCCCCCCCTATAAGGGTGACCCCCGCTTCCAAGAACACTCCAGAGAGAGCCCGCCCAAAACGACCCCCCCCCCAAAAAGTCCCAACAAAATCCCCCCTAGCTTCTCACTCCTGGAACCCCGAATTTTTCCCAAGAGAGGAGCTGGTGCCCCTCCACCCCTTTTATAAGGGTGACCCCCCGCTTCCCAGACATCTCCGACGCCGTGGCTTCTTCAGCACACGGGGCCCTCGACGCCCCGACCCTTCCCCGAAGCAGAAAAAGAAACAACGCGACGAAAAATTAAAAATACTCCCAAAATAGTCAAAACATACTCCAAACATAGTCTGGGGACTATTTCGTTGTTTAATTTTTCTTAGCCTTTTTTGGATATTTTTGGGGGTATCTTTTATTTTTTCGTCCAAGATCCTCCTGTAGGGGGACAGGCCCGACTTAACATTAACTTTTGGCGCTCCGCGCGGATTCCTTGGATCTGCGCTGGACCCCCATCCCTGGCGCGCGGGGCGCGCCAGGGGCGGCGCCGGAGGCGCTGCCGGGGGGCCCCAGCGCGGATCCAAGAAACCCGCGCGGAACGCCAAACGTTTATGTTTATGGCGTTTTTTCTTCTTCGACCAAGGCCGGCTTCTCATACCGAGTTGTTTTTCTAACGGTCCCGGGGCCCGGCGAGGATCCCCCATGGTGGGCCTCTGTTCCACCGCCACCACCACAAGTAGGAGGGGGGAGAGGGTCCTCCTTCTCCTCCTCCTCTTCTTCTTCCTCCTCCTCCTCATCCTCCGCCTCCTTCCCCCCCTCCATCTTGTGGTGGTGGTGGTGGTGGGAAACAGGCCCATCACCCCAGAGGCCGAAAACTGCCAAAACCTTACGATGTGTTTGTGCTCTGCGCGAGCATGTCTGGGGCTCGCGGCGCCCCCAGTGGCGACACCCCCTTGGCACTGCCCGAGGGCTCCGCAGGGCCGCCTCGGCCAGCTCCTCGAACTGCCCGGGGCCATCGTGCCGCTTGAGCGCCACCTCGCCCTTGACCTCGATTGGGAGGTACTTCTTGCCCACGCGGACCCAGCCGTCGCCCTCGTCCACGCCTCGAACCACCTGTAGAGGGCAGAAGCGCCGCCCTCACAGTCTTGCCGCCGTGGCTGCACGGCAAGGGCGAGCTGGGCTGCTCCTCTGCTGTCTGGTGAGGCTTCCCTCGTGTTTTCGGGGGCGGCGCCCCCTGCTCATGGCGCGTGGGATTGGGACATCGTCCCCCCTCTCCCGAGCCGGTTGTGGGTCATTGTTCTGTTTTGGCGTCTCTATTCCTCTCCCCCTGTTTCATTCATATGTATATGTGCACACATTTAAATGTAGATCAATGCATATATTATGTACACTTAAACTCAAGCACGCGCATCTATCCGAAGGAATAGAGTTCAGAGCCGATTAATTGTGAAACCGCGTTTATTTGTTTGGCCGTTTCGCTTGGGACATCATCGACGCTCTGAACAACGGACGCACCTCTCACGCAATTTGCGACGTCACGATCCAATCATCCTGTCGAAAGACCCACCCATATACAAATGTGAATATCGGAACTGTGAATATCTTCTTCGGTGGCGATCCCTATGCGGCCACGAACCGTGTGAGGGGTGTGCCGGAATGGATGGCGCGGACGCATATGGACACCGCCACTGGGGCCTTCGGCGGAGCTCCCTTCGGGGCCACGAAACGAGTGAGGGGTGTGCCGGCATGGGTGGCGCGGAGGCATGTGGACACCGCCACTGGGGCCTTCGGTGGAGCTCCCTATGGGGGCACGAAACGTGTGAGGGATGTGCCGGCATGGGTGGCGCGGACGCATGTGGACATCGCCAGTGCCTGCGGTGGAACTCCATGTGGGGCCACAAAAGGTGTGCCGAAATCGGTGGCCCAGACGCATGGGAACACCGCCACGGGGGCCTTCGGTGGAACTCCATGTGGGGCCACCAATCGTGTGAGGGGAGTGCCGACATGGGTGGCGCGGACGCATGTGGACACCGCCACTTAGACATTCGGTGGAGCTCCCTATGGGGCCACGAAACGTCTGAGGTGTGCGCCGACATGGGTGGCGCGGACGCGCGTGGACGCCGCCATTGGGGCTTCGATGGAGCTTCCCATGGGCCGCGAAACGTGTGAGGGGTGTGCCGAAATCGGTGGCGCGGACGCATGTGGACACCGCCACTGGAACCTTCGGTGGAGCTTCCTGTGGGGCCACGGAACGTGTGAAGGGTGTTTCGGAATTGGTGGCGCGGACGCATGTGAACACCGCCACTGGGGCCTTCGGTGGAGCTCCCTATTGGGCCACGAAACGCGTGAGGGGTGTGCTGGAATCGGTGGCGCGGACGCCTGTGGACACCGCCACTGGGGCCTTCGGTGGAACTCTCCATGGGGCCACGAAACGTGTGAGAGGTGTGCAGCGGACGCATGTGGACACAGGCTAAGGTGCCTTCGGTGGATTCCCCTACGGGCTTCACGAAACGTGAGGGGTCAGCCGGCATGCGTGGCGCGGACGCATGTGGACACCGCCACTGGGGCCTTCGGTGGAATTCCCTATGTGGCCACGGAATGTTTGAGGGGATCGCCGAAATGACTGGCGCGGACGCATGTGGACACCGCCACTGGGGCCTTGAATGGAGCTCCTTATGGGGCCGCGGAACGTGTGAAGGGTGTGCTGGAATCGGTGGCGCGGACGCATGTGAACACCGCCACTGGGGCCTTCGGTGGAGCTCCCTATGGGGGCACGAAACGTGTGAGGGTGAACTGAAATTGGTGTCGAGGACGCATGTGGACACCGCAACTGGCGCCTTCGGTGGCGATCCCTATGGGGCCACGAACCGTGTGAGGGGTGTGCCGAGATCGGTGGCGCGGACGCATGAGGACACCGCCACTGGGGCCTTGAATGGAGCTCCATATGGGACCAGGAAGCGTGTGAGGGGTATGCCGAAGCTGATGGCGATGATGGTGATGATGACCGCGATGATAGCGTCGATAATCTCTATGATAACGATGATGATGACGACGACGATGGTAATGATGATGACGACGATGATGATGATGCTGATGATGATGGTGGGAGGAGGGATGAGGGGGAGGAGGAAGGAAGGAGTGGATGCTGGGGGCTGTTTCTCTCAAGCGCGGACCCAATAATACCACAGGATGGTTGAGAAACGTACAGTCTGATTCATTGATGTAATCACTATGTTTTCAAAAACACACTGGGATCTTATGATATTGAGCCCAAGTCTTCGGGCATTGCAGGCTCGCCTGAAACATCCTCCAAACATTGAACCCCTTCTCAACACGTTTAAACACATGCAGTTTCGCCTGAGGCATCCTCCCAACATCGAGCCCCGAGGAACACCACACACATAATACAAACATAACACACACACACCACACACAACATACACCACACACAACACACACAGAACACACGCAGCACCTACAGCACACACACCACGCACGCAACGCATACCACAGCACCACACACAGCACACACACAACGCACACAACACACAAAACACATACACATCACAGCCAACACAATGCACACACACCACACAAAACGCATGTGCACACACCCCTAACACACCTATCAAACAACACGCAGAACACACACGACCCGCACATACCTTACACACAGCACGCGCACAACATACAACAACACGCACACAGCACATAACAGTCACACAACACACAGCTTACAAACCACACGCACACACACACACACACACACATCCTGCACATGTGTTTGTATGAGCCTGGGCACGCATGTGCCACTTATATGTATACAAAGGGGCCCCAAGCATGCCCCCCCGAGGGGGTCAAAACAGGCCCCCCGAGAGGGGTCAAACCAGCAAAAGCAGGCCCCCCGAAAGGCGCCAAACAAAGATTCCCTGAGATGGACCGGCACGGCCAGCTAAAAGCAGCAAAAACAGTTGAACGTTAGCCCGAAGCCTTAAACGCACAGTCACAAAACACCAAACAAACAAAAACAACTCGCATCAACACAGCCCACACTGGCAAACGCCGCCCCAAGACAGCCAAGCTCGCCATGCATTCAAGCTCGTTTCTGCTACGCTGCTGCACAGGCGATGGATAGTTAAAAACACCCCGTGCAGTCCTTCTTCAAACGCGCCAACGGGAGGAGTCGGGTAGGACGCCCAGGGCTTTCGTGAACACAACGTACAGTGGAGGCTAGTCCACAAGAATTCCACAAGAAACCCAGCCCTGAGACCCCAGGACGTGTGGGAACGTCACGCTTTCCATGGAAACCCAAGAAACCCAAGGCACCTCGGAGGCAAGCAGGGTGTTTCTTGGCATGGGTCTCCACTGTATCGGTGTCGGGGTGACCTTTCCTCCCTGGAACCTGGCCCCACAGGACCATCTCCTCGATCTTGTCGTCCATGTCCTTGCTCTGCCGGTACAGGAGCCCCTCGGCCAAGCTGCGGAGCTTCTCGTTCTCGACCACGAAGTGCTCCGTCACCCCCTCGGGCATGCAGCAGCGCGCGGCTCGTTCGAGGCATGGCCCCCCGCTCCCTCCCGCCGGCCCGCTCCTCCTCCCGAGCAGGTCCTTAGGATCGCCCCCGGGGCCGAACGGGTCTGAAGAACTGGCCGCCTCGACTTTTGCGAGCCGCTGCGCGCGCCACGGGCGGGGCGAGGGGCGGGCGGAGGGGGGCGGGGGGGCCCTGGGACTCAGAAGGCTTCGTGAGAGGCCCTCGGTGCTTCCCTATAAGGCCTCCTAGATGGGGTCCGAATGGATGGGGTCGAAGGATCGCGCCGCATCGCCAATGCATCGGCGATGCATCGGCGTTGCATCGGCGATGCACCGGCGATGCATCGGCGACGTCGGCGACGTCGGCGACGCATCGGCGACGTCATCGGGCTCCGCATCGAGCCGCATCGGCGATGCATCGGCGATGCGGCGCGATCCTCCGACCCCATCTAATCCGACCCCATCTAGGAGGCCTGGATTCCCGCGCGCATTCTCGGAGGCCTCCGGGCCCCTCTGAGAATAGGGGGCGCGCAAACATGGACCAACGATCCATGGACTTGGCGCGCGGTCGCCAAATCCATGGATCCGGGGAGGTGCCCTCCCCAAAATGCGGCCGGTGCCGCCTCGCTCGGCGGCGGGAATGCGAGATTCCCCAAGGAAACGGGACCCGTCCCTAACCCTCGGTCGGGCACGTCCCCCTATACAGGCTGATTTTGGACGCAGAATGAAAATACCCAAACACACATATGATGTTTTGGGCTATTTTTGAACCTCCCTCCTGTAGAGGGACACGCTCGACTTAACGCTAATCCATTTGGACGCCCGAAATGGGCACGGAAAGAATGGGTACAATACCCAACAACAAATGTTGTCCCAAACCAACAGCGGCCGCTGTTGGGCAGGCGGCCTTCTGTCTCGAATGGACACAGGCCGCGGCGGCGTGGACAGCGAGTCCTGTTCAAAATGAACAGGATCTGCTGTTGGGCATTGTACCCATTCTTTCCGTGCCCATGCCGGGCCCCCTTGATCCATGCGTGCGATCGCCCGCGAGGCGGCCCCTGCCGTGCCCGAGGCCCCCAACCCTCGGTCGGGCATGTCCCCCTATACAGGCTGATTTCGGGCGGAGAGAACGAAACTACCCAGACAAACATGTTATTGTTTGAACTATTTTGGAACCTCCCTCCTGTAGAGGGACACGCTGTAAGAACGGTTTTTTGAAGGCAGATCTGCCTTCAATGTAAGAACGGTTTTTTGAAGGCAGATCTGCCTTCAAAGAATTGGTCTACTCTGTAAGAACGGTTTTTTGAAGGCAGATCTGCCTTCAAAAAATCGGTCTACTCTATAAAAACGGTTTTTTGAAGGCAGATCTGCCTTCAAAAAATCTGTAAGAACGGTTTTTTGAAGGCAGATCTGCCTTCAAAAAACCGTTCTTACAGAGTAGACTCAACGCTGGTCCACGCCCCCTAGATCCCCGTGTGCGATCGCCCGCGAGGAGAGGCCCCTCGCCGTGCACGAGGCCCCCCAACCCGCTCGGAGGGCCGCCTCTTCCTCGCCCCGCCCCCCCCCGGTGGCGCGCCGCCGAGGCCGCCTGCACACAGGAAAGGGGCCCATGGGGCACACAGATAAACACACAGACACAGACACAGACACAGACACAGACACAGACACAGACACAGACACAGACACAGACACAGACACAGACACAGACACATCCCAAGATTCCCCCCCACATTTTTTCTCCTATTTTCCGTGTTGTCGTCTTCCCCCCCCCCCCCTTTCCCATGGTTTCCCACATTTTTCTTATGCGAGTCGACGATTCATCGTGTCAGTGTGTGTGTTTGTTCCCCTATTCTTTCTATGTTCGTCTTCGCCCCCCCCCACTTCCCATATTTTCCCATATCTTCCTCGGAATCGACGACTCATCGTGCGTCTGTGTCTCAATTTTCCCTCCCGACATATAGGACGTCCTCGCCGCGACGGGCGGCGACCGACCGCGGCGGCGACCGACGGCGGTCGACCGGCAGCGGCCGAGCGGCGGCGGCGCACGAGCGGCCGGCGGCTATCACGCGGAGCGCCTGCGCGCTGAAGCCCGACGGCGGCCTTCCAGGAGAGGCCAAACGTACCGTTAGAACGTACTGTTAATGCGGGATGACGATTTACAAAAAAAAGGGGAGAGAACGATTAAAGCATAGTTGTCTGCTATTTCTGCACAGTTTTCCGACTGGAGGAGAACGATTTAGAAAAAATAATTTTCCAGCCCGCGGCCGGTTTTTTCTAATCGTCATCCCGGGCGCCGCCGCGTGAACACGACCCCCGGTCATTATTAATCGTCATCCTCCATTACCGTTACAACGTGCCGTTCAGTCGGGCCTGTCCCTCTGCGGAAGGAATCTCTCCAAATGGTAGCAAGATCATCTGGGCACGAGTTTGGGACCATGTTTGAACATGGTTGGCATGCTTGTCGGGTATGTTTAAATTTCCATCCCAAATCCCCCTGTTTGAGCAGGGACCGACCGTCCGACCGACGAAATGTTCTTAGAACCCCAAATGTTCTAATAACAAAAATGATCTTCTTAGAACATAGACCCGACGTGTGAAAACAAGACAATCTCAACCACAAATATTCTAAGAACATTTCGTGGTGACCACAATCGGTTCTTAGAACATTGTTTGGTAGAGCTATAGGCGAGCCAGGACGCTTCGCCACTGCTTGACCTGTAGGCGGACAGGCCCGGCCTACACGTACCCCCAGGACGGCGCCACGGCTCGCAGCCGAGGGGCGCCCCGAGGTGGGCCCGGAGGCCCCTCTTAAGGGCACGTCTGCTCTGGGGTACGCTTAGGCCCGGCTCGTCCTCCTGCAGGCGGATGCTGGAAGAAACACAAACACAGAGGCAAGCAAGAATCAGAAACATGAAACATCGTCCCCGGCTCATTTTTGGACCATCCCTGAATCGACTCCTCCTCTGTAGATGAGGGGCAACGATAGGGGGGGACTGGCATAGGGGGGATGCATCGATCTGGAATCGGCGATACATCGCCGATAGATCGGCGACAGGCCTCCGATGGTGAGTCCGCGACCTTCCTGGGCGGGCTGGGGCTGTCGGGCCCCCATCGGCGATCATTGGGCGATTCGGGGCCGATGCATCCCCCCCCGCCCTGTGCCTACTCCCCCCCCCACCGTTGCCCCCGAGCAGAGGGACACGCCCGACTTCGGGGCGCGCCGGGCCCCCGGGCCCCCCCCGTGGGCCTCATCGCTGGCGGCGGGGGCCACGCGGGCGGCCGCATCGCCGGCGGCGCGGCGGGCCCGCGCGGCGGGGCCTCCGCGGCGACCTCGGCCTCCGCCGGCGGGGCGCCCTCGCCTCCGCCGCCGCCCTCGCCCTCCGCGGGCCCCTCGCAGGAGGAGGAGGAGGAGGAGGAGGAGGAGGAGGAGGAGGAGGAGGAGGAGGAGGAGGAGGAGGAGGAGGAGAAGGAGGAGGAGGAGGAGGAGGGGCGGAGGAGGAGGAGGAGGAGGAGAAGGGGAAGGGGGAGGGGGAGAGGGAGGAGGAGGGGGAGGGGGAGGGGGGGAGGAGTAGGAGGAGGAGAGGAGGAGGAGGAGGAGGAGGAGGAGGAGGAGGAGGAGGAGGAGGAGGAGGAGAGAGGGGAGGGGGGGGGGAGGGGGAGAGGAGGAGGAGGAGGAGGAGGAGGAGGAGGAGGAGGAGGAGGAGGAGGAGGAGGGAGGAGGGGAGGGAGGAGGAGGAGGAGGAGGAGGAGGAGAAGGGGAAGGGGGAGGGGAGAGGGAGGAGGGGGGAGGGGGAGGGGGAGGAGGAGTAGGAGGAGGAGTAGGAGGAGGAGGAGGAGGAGGAGGAGGAGGAGGAGGAGGAGGAGGAGGAGGGGGAGGGGGAGGGGGAGGGGAAGAGGAGGAGGAGGAGGAGGAGAGGAGGAGGAGGAGGAGGAGGAGGAGGAGGAGGAGGAGGAGGAGGAGCCTCGCCGTCTGCGCCGGGCGCCTCCGCGGGCCACTCGCCCGCCTCGGCCGCGGCGCTGGCCGCCGCGGGCCAGGCGCCCGCCTCTGCGTCGGCGTCGCCCGCCGCGGGCCACTCGCCGAGCTCCCGCGGCTCCTGCAGGGCTGGCTCGGAGGCGCGAGGCCAGTCGGTGGCTTCGCGTGCAGTTTCGGGGCTCGAGGAGTCGCTGCTGGACAGCGGCCAGGGTTCGGCAGCTCAGGTCCGAGGGCTACGTCAGCCTCTTCGAGCTCCTCCTGGCGCGGTCCAGAACAGCGAGGTCCACAGGACCCTTTTTTACGATGCTTCTCTCTTCTCGCCGCCGAGGCCTCGGAGCTCCGAGGCATCCGCGCCACTCTGGGGCCCCTGATACTTCCCTGAGATCCGACGCAAGGAACAATTGCAACATCGTACAACATCACTCCCAAAGCCCTGGGCGTCATCTCTCTGCGCCATTTTTGGAGCCGGATCGATATGTGAGGGTCCTGGGCAATTTTTTATATAAGAAGCGAAAACGCCTGGCTCGAGAAACTTGACCCGCCAAGATCTCAGGGTTCCCTGGAGGTCGCGGCAGCTTCCCAGGAGCTCCTGGGGACACCTTGGGTCGGCTACACTTAGGTCGGGCGCGTCCTCCTACAGGCGGGTTGTGGACGAACTCTAGAAACTTGTAACAAATGATCGGACAGAGGCCTGATTATTCACAAACTCGTCCCCAGATGATTTTTCACTATTTTTGAACATTCCCCCTGTAGAGGGACACGCCCGCCTTACGGCTACACGCAGGCGTGGCCCTGGGCCAGAGCGGCCTTTCGGTGCGCGGGGCGTTCGGGGGGGCCGCGGGGGGGAGGGGAGGGGGGACGTCCAGGCGCCCAGGACGGTGCTGCGGGGGCCCCTGCAGACGCAGACTTGCAGTCGGGCCTGCCTGGAGAGGGCGCGCGAGAGGACACAGGACCCCTCCGATGCACGGATCTGCAAATCCGGGAAAAAACATACTGAACAGCTGAATCGTAAATCCACAGACATGGTCCCCATACTATTTGTTGACTATGTTTGGCTACTCCTCCTGTGGAGGGACCTGCCCGACTTGACTCTAAATCCAGGACACGAGGGCACCCAGGACCTCAGGGCTTGGGGCCCGGCGGCCGCGGCATTCGGCCCTCACTCGGTCGACGGCGCGAGGCGTGATACCGGGGGGAGCGTTAGGTCGGGCCAGTCCCCCTACAGGGGGATTTTGGGCGAAAAATGAAAAATACCTCTAAAAATACAACCAAAATTCAAAACATCGTCCCCACACTATTTTTTTCCTCTTTACAATTTTCGAATGCTCCTCCTGTAGAGGGACAGGCCCGACTTCAAGAGAGCACCGGCGGGACCTTTTTTGGGGCCTGTTGCGGTCACCGCATGCACGCCGTGTGCGAGAGGCGGGCCCGCCGCGAGGGCAGAGGCCTCGAGCCCCCGTCGCTTCCCGGAGGTACTTTGGGGAAACAGAACCGCTCCCGTTCCCACTCCGCTTCGCTCCTGGATTCTCTCCCGCGTCTCCACTTCTCTCCCTCCTCCTCCTCCCTCCTCCTCCTCCTCCCTCCTCCTCCTCCTCCTCCTCCTCCTCCTCCTCCTCCTCCTCCTCCTCCTCCTCCTCCTACCTCCCTCCTCCTCTCCTCCTCCCTCCTCCTCCTCTCCTCCTCCTCCTCCTCCTCCTCTCCTCCTCCTCCTCCTCCTCCTCCTCTCCTCCTCCTCCCTCTCCCTCCTCCTCCCTCTTCCTCCCTCTTCCTCTTCCTCTTTCTCCACCTCCTCCTCCTCCTCCTCCTCCTCGATCCCCCCCGACCCTCGAGCCACGACATCTGGCCGTCCCGCCCCGCCCCAGACATTCCCGGCCTCCCTGTTCTGAGCACGGGGTCCCTGGATCCATCTCTTCAGGCCCCGGGGCCCCAAGACGGGCCCCGGGTGCCGAGATCAAGGAGCAGCCGCCAGTACAGTCGGAGCGTTGACCCAAGGAACCCTAAATAAGGAACGAGGCCCCTTTCATCCACAAGTTGAACTTCGATTTCCCATCGAAAACCAAAGGAAAACCAAAGGCAAACTGTGAAGCAATCGAGGAACACGGAGCCCCTCCCCAACGAAAAGGGTTCCTTCTTCAGGGCCCCGACTGTAGACCAACACATCGATCGGAGACCTCGGAGCCTCGGTCCATCATGTCTCGTCGGAGATCTGGGGCCCTCGAGCCACGATGGCCCGCAGAGGCCTCCCACGTGGGGTCCGAGTGGATGGGGCCAGAGGAACGCGCCGCACCGACGATGCATCGGCGAAGCATCGGCGAAGCACCGGCGATGCATCGCTGCCGCCGGCGCGATGAGAGTCGGGCTCCGCATCGGGCCGCATCGCCGATGCATTGGCGATGCGGTGTGATCCTCCGACCTCATCCGCTCGGACCCCATCTGGGAGGCCCACTGTCGTGGCTGGCTCGACTTGCAACAGTCGCAACAGCTGCAGCGCGATTGCAACCCATCTGCATGGCGCCCGCGAGCAGGTCGCAAATCCGCCTGACCGATGCGAGCCCGAGGAAGCCGCGGACCCAACCGGGAGCAGGCTGGGCGGACTCGCGGCCCACTTGCGAGTGCCTTGCAAGTGGGCTGCCACCACCTCGCAGCTGCTGCAAGTCGCAACGATCCCCGCACCGGCGACGCGGCGCGATCCTCCGACACCCCCATCTGCTCCGACCCCACCTGGGAGGCCTGGAGCCCTGCCCTCGACGCCGTGACTCTTTCACGACGTGACCCCTCGCGGTCTGGACCCGTTCCTAGGGACCGGCTCTTCATCCCGAGCCGTGTTGCTGCCGCCCCCGAGGCACAGGAAGGGGCCCCGCACGCCGAGAACATAGCGCAAGCCTCTCCTTCATCTTGCGATCCTCCGTGGCCCGACGGCATCCGGGCACGGCGACGCTCTGGCCCTCCCGCGGCTCCTGTGGCTCGGCGGCCTCGGGCTCCTCGGGCGACGCTGAATGTCGGGAGCGGCCAAGAGGGGGGTGTCCAAGAGGGGGGGGTGCAAATCATGACCGGCGGCATGTGCTCGGCCCAGAGGGGGGGCCAGGGACGTGATGAGATAAGAAGAGGCGCCAGGAAATCTGGGGAAATGTCATGGCCCACGCCATGATATCCTCCCCCCCCTAGTCATCGCCCTCCTCTTTTCCGCCCCCGAGCTGAATGGGGGGGGGCGAGGAATGGCGGGGAAAGGAAAGGTGTACGTCTCGGGCCGGACAGGCCCCCGCTTCTGGGCCCCAAGGGGCCCCGAGGGGCTCACGTTCTGCAGCCGCCGCTGCCCTCCATCTGCTCGCCGCCGCTCGGACGTCCAACCCAAGAGGCTCCTCGACTGTGAAGACGAGGCCAGGGCGAGATACGCTCAGGGGTGGATGAATGAAGCGTCTCTCAGATCCGACGGCCTTCGAGGATGCATCGGGCGCCGCGGCCTTCTCAGAGCTTCCTGGAACGCTCTGAGAGCGTCCCTGAACGTTCTGGAACGGATCAATCGTCGTCCTGGCCCCGCCCGAAGCGTCCTCGCCACGACAAAGTGCACAAGTCCGAGCGATGCCATATTCATCGCCCCTTCATTCGGCTTAGGTCGGGCATGCCCTCCTACAGGCGGCTTGAATCAACAAAGACGAAGACTTGGAAGCTGGGCGAGGGCTGGCAAGTCCGTGGCTGCTGAAACGGTCTTCCCGGAAGAAAAAAACAAATTCCCGGAATCAAGCTCAGCGCACTAAATAGCAAACGGGCTGCTTCCCTGACGAAAGAAAGCAAGTTCCCAGAGCTCTGTTTTGACAGCCGCTGAAAGACGAATCAAACATCTGCAAAAACAGCAAAAAAAGAGAGGAACATAAATCGCCCCCAAAACTATATTTAATCTACTTTTGAATCTTCCTCCTGTCAAGGGACCTGCCCGACTCCTGCTGACTGCCTGCCAGACCACCCCAACCCAACCCGAAGACTCGAATTTCGGGTTGGGGAGGGGTAAACAGGTTCCACGCGTGTTTCTTCGCTGTTTCCCGACCCCCCCAACTAGAAATCGAGGGTAAATCTAAGCCTTCGGGTTGGGCTGGGGTGGCTTGGTCTTGAGCAGGGACCGACCGTCCCGGCATTCCTATAGTCCTACCACGACATGTTCTCAGAACCCGAACGTGTTATAAGAACAGAAACACTGCTCTCAGAACACTGACCCGATGTGTTGAACCGAGACGGTCCCAGCCAGAACAGTTGTAAGGACATCTCCTGGAAACCACGAAAAGTTCTCAGAACATTGTCTGGTGGGGCTACAGGCGAGCCGGGACGCTTCGCCACTGCTGGGGATGGACAGACCTCCCTTTAGTAAAACGTGGTTCAGTGG